TATATATATATATACACACGTGTGTGTGTGATCTTCACACAGTATTGTTTCGCTGTATCACAGCTCCTCAGTGCGACTAGACATCCGAATGCCTCAAGCCCGGATCAAAACCCAATCGATTTGGTGTCAGTCAGAGTTTCTAACACTGAGCTATCTTCATTCGACAGAAAAACAGCTAAATCTAACGTCTTGTTTTTACGAATGTAAACAAACGACAATCAACTGAAGTGCTCCAATTCATTTTACTGAAGAGCTTTGCATTAACACAGGTGGCTGTTGTTTATAGAATTAGCTTGTCTCTCAAAAGTGGTCAATTGAAATTTATTTTCAAGAGCTATATATATATATATATATATATACGCATGGGAGATGTATGAGAGAGCTCTATGTGGGCATAGGGTTCAACACTGACTTAGGGTTCACACAAGTGACTTAGTTTCACGCCTCAAGCAGTCTTCGAACCATTGAACTTTTCAGATGGTCTGAACATTTCTTAAGACATGAAACAGTCACAATGCACGTATAAGATCTCCGGGGTTTGTTTATAATTTGGTGCAAACTTCTTAATGTTAAATTTGCTTCTTTTTATGTACGAGACTTTTATTAATAAAACTGAAATTTTGTCCCCTTTGGAGATAAGAAACTGAAATTTTGTCCCCTTTGGAGATAAGAAACTGGGGTTTTGTCATTGAGTCCTGAAAAACTGTTACAAGATTTTTTTTAATAAATTTCGACCGACATTAACACGAACCGTTCCATCAATGAATATTGAATGTTTCATGTATGGAAGCACCTAATTTCGCCATAACCATTACAAGTTCAGTTTAATAATAAAAGAGCCTGTCTCATCGGAGCCTTACCGCTTTTATAACGAGTTCGATCCTCACCTGGCGACCTACATTTGTGATATTATATCTTACTGTTAAGCTTCTTTTCATTCGTGTCTGAAGGTAAGTGTTGTTCATGATCCTTTCGAAAGTGACTGGATCCATTACCGATGTAAATGTCGATATGTATTTTTTTCCATAAAATTTGGGTCTTACAATTTCGCCTTAAGAGACTGTATATTTCCTGAAGTTGCGCATTAAAATAAATTCTGATCAGCGAGAACTTTTTAAACTCGATAAAAAAAAATCTGAAACATCTCTGTATCGGCATATGTTTATTTAATAACACATTTTTACAAATGTGTTGGCGTGTAAGCTAGAAAGAGACTGATGTGTTTATGGCAGTCTCGCGTGACCTGAGCAGCACGAAATCGTCACCGATTGGCTACTAAATGTGGCGGGTTTTGCCTCTTCCAGAGCCAGTCCACCCGACGCCACAATATTCCTTACTTGATGAATAAGGGAAGGAGAACTATGACACTTCCTCAGATAATTTTTAGTGGGTAAGTAAGCGAAAATAAGAGGAATAGACTTTCTTCGTTGAAAAGCAATGCAAATAACTGATAGGATGGAAGAGGGTAGGAGGAGACAGATAAAGATGGTAGTAGGAGTCACAGCGGACATGTTCCTTTTTCTACACAGGTCAACACGTCCTTTCGCCTGCTAAGTGTAAGCCTAAATCACAAAGATGGCATTTGAAACCAAATGGAAAAAAAAAACAACAATGAAAAGACGAATAATTAGTTGTCAATAGAAATAAAACAAATTGCATAAACTGAGTTCGACAATTTTAACCGATTTCCAAGTAAAATTATTTTTTTTAACTATCTATATACCGTAATTCCCCATGTATGCGCTATTTTTTCTTAAAAATAATAGGCAAAATTAGGGGTCCGTATTATGCACAGCTACAAAAATATCTTTAAAAAATTGCCGTTTCATAGGTCGATTTTAGTTGCGAAATAACTACTCACCACAAACATACGACAATTTGACACTAACATTCAGCGATTGTGACCCCATGAGAATGTCAAATACAATCATATGTACCTAACAATACTTACAAATGTAAAATAATAATTATCATAAAACTAAATTAGAATAATATCATTCTATGTTTAAAACCAATTTTATAAGAGTAGGGAACGCTAGCCGTAATGAGATTGGAGAGGTACAGTTTATAGGGTTTGATTACCAAACACGGGCTGCGCATTATGCATGAATAGAATCATTTTCCCACACTTTCAGCACCATTTTAGGGGTGCGTATTATGGATGATGGCGTATGAAAAACACATTTTAAATGCCTTCTTTGAACTGAAATTTCGGTTCTATTTGAAATTTTATAATGAAAGCTAGTCCGAATTAATAGAAAAATTAATTTTCATAAATGAACTTTTTAAGAATTTTAAAAGCATTAGTACTTTTTCTTCACTCATCGAGTCGCCATTGTATGCGAAAAATGTAAAAAAAAAAATTAAATTCTCTAGTATTTGTCATAGAGATGTGTTTCAAAGTATATTTAAGGAATAACTGGATTTTCTAAAAGTAATGCTTTCCTTTTACTTAAAACAGAATGAAAATAACGCTGTATTTACGTAAGGTCAAAGGACAAAATAGAAATACAGGTATTCTCCTACTATCCGAAAATTCGCGGGAAAAAGTAAAAATAAAATCTAAAGAAGTACGGAAAACCAGATGTGCGATAATGAAGACTTTGTTATTTATACTTAAAACTAAATATTCTACACGCTTAGTATAATGAATATATATTTTTTTATACAGAGTGAACGAGTCATATGAATTAATATCATAATTCTCCTCCGATATTGAACATTAGATATCAGTATTATTTCCTTTTTGTACATCCAACCTAACTGCTGCTAAAAATAAAAATACAGTGTAACCCGGATATAAGAGAAACCCGGATATAAGAGATTTTCTCTGGTCCCAAATTAGAGCCTGTGTTAATGTATACATATAGACCAAACCCGGATATAAGAGAAACCCGGATATAAGAGATTTTCTCTGGTCCCAAATTAGAGCCTGTGTTAATGTATACATATAGACCAAACCCGGATATAAGAGAAACCCGGATATAAGAGAAACCCGGATATAAGAGATTTTCCCTGGTCCCAAATTAGAGCCTGTGTTAATGTATACATATAGACCAAACCCGGATATAAGAGAAACCCGGATATAAGAGAAACCCGGATATAAGAGAAACCCGGATATAAGAGAAACCCGGATATAAGAGACTTCTTCTCCGGTCCCAACAACTCTCTTATATCTGGGTTACAATGTAAAATAAAAAGTTCGCTCTCGAAAATGGCATTAAACTTTAGACTTTTTGAATCTTCAAATATGTCTTTATTTAACAAAATAAACTCTTGTGACGAACAGCAACAGGATGTTTTTCAAAATTCTACTGTAACATTACAAGTAATCTTTCTTTTTTTTAAATAAATATTAAGTTCATATTTTTTCTGACGAATCTGAAATAAGGTTTTTTTTATTAAGTTATGCAAACAGCAATTCTCAAAAAATATTTTGGAGGTTTTATTGAATTGATTTATGGCAAGATGCCGGCCGAACTTTTCGTGTGTTCACACTCGATATTCCATGTATTTTTTTTTTTTGAAAGATTTTTATATAACTGTAAAAAATTTGGATGAACACAAAGGAAATTAAAAAGTATACACGCGATATCGAAAATACCCAAAATATTTCCCGATTATTTTTTTTTTTATAAAATAACCTATTTACTTAAATAAACTATTCCCTAAAATATTCACTTATTCATTAATAATTTCTAAAAATTTTGTTTGACTCGAATTGCTCACTGATTTTTGTAAATATTTTAAAACAGACGGTGTCGATTTTTTACTTTCATTGCGGAAAAGTATCCATTTTGGTGGTACCCAGATTGCAATCTGGACTCTTTTTTTATATCTTGATATAATACGGTGGGGATTTAATAAACTAGGCACTGCGACCAGAAATAATAATTTACCCCCTCATATTTTAGTACAATAAGCACTGCGACCAGAAATAATAAATTCCCCCTCATATTTTAGTAGAATAAGCACTGCGACCAAAAATAATAATTTTCCCCTCATATTTTAGTAGAATAGGCACTGCGACTAGAAATAATAATTTCCCGCTTATATTACAACATATTAAACATTCCAGATTGCGAATATCTTTTTGTATAATAAAGTTTTATAATACTTAATAAGGTATATTGTTTGTATGTAAAGTTATCGCCGTACGGAAGCCAAAACAAAATACTCATACAACATGATTTCGCAAAATATACATATTTTTTTTAATTCGTGATTAATCGATTACTTTTGAAGTTCCTTCTTTTTTTCTTTTTATTCACAAGCCGCTATTTTTACAAAAGACACATGCCATTCATCTTATGTGTGGCTGTTAAATTTGCCAACTAGTAATAAAGGTCGCCATTATCAAATTTAAATCTAAATGTTTGCCGAGACACAGACACGTTTACCGCTGATTCGCTACAATCATCATGTGGGCCACATGTGGGCCACATGTAGGCTGCGTAAAATCATCATGCTAGCTACGGAAAATCATCTGGCCAACCTTCGTAAAATCATCAAGCGAGCCGCGTATTCACCCCAAGCAAGACGATAATGCCATAAAGGTTCGAGGGTACTGAAAAAGAACATTTTAGAAGGAATCGGAAATCACTCCTAAACAGGAAAGAATATACCTATCTACTCCTATTCAAAAGTTTGGGGAGGAGCGTAAACCGGGCGGTAGGCGAACCTATCTACTCCTATTGAGAAAAAAAATAATGAATAAAATTTCAGAGTTTAGGCGGAGACGGTCTGATTTACATTAAAACAAGCTTGCTAACCATGACACTACGGTAGGTGCATTGGCACACAATCGCCCATATTATTTACTAAGCTCAACTTGACCTGTCACAAGGCCAGCTGTAATGCAGCATTCAGCGAGGTGCTTATTAGTTTTAGTCTGGCACAAGGCCATAACAGTGAAGGGTCCGTTGGGAGTTAAGCTCTACTGTGTTAATATAAATAATATGACAGATTGCACTCAAAACGAAGTATGAAAAAGATCTTACCTAATTTTTCGAAACTTCTTACGAGAAACAGGCCGCCTGTCGCTTCCTCTACACTCCCTGCCATCTGGACCGCAGACAAAGGTGGCCTCGATTCCTTTTTCAGACACTCTCCATTCAAATTCGACCCGTTCTCCATCTGCTAGACTTCGAAATCCTGATTTGTGAATCACGGACTGAAAGAAAGAAAGAAAAATTATCGATATTTGAAAGAACAAAATATTTTTAATTAAAGTTTTTTTTTTTTGTCTTTGTCATAAATGTTTCCACTTATTTAGGCGGGATCTTGAAAAATACAAACCAATCAAATATACCTTTTCCGCGTATTTGAGCCACCGAGCCGAATTGAACCAGACCGAACGAAGCAACAGTGACTAATAATTACCGATTCATTCAGCACTAAATCCGCCCCTGTCTTAACGTACCCGTTGTAAGCAGCCTTTTAGAGTATAGATACAACAATACGTGTCATTTAGTGTAGGTAAAACCCCAAACACCGAAAAGTACATTAATAACTAGGAAACAACAAAATGATGTTACTTTATGATTGAAGATGAAGAAATTACGTTGTCTTTTATTCTGCGAGCCAAGTCCTTTCAGCTCTCTATAACTTATCTCTCTACAACTTTCAATCCTTTGTAGTTCTTAGCAATGGTTGTCCATTATTGTTTCTTACATTCCCTGCTTTGACAGCCATTTACACACGCTTGTTAGGTGAATCAGCCTTTTCCTCTGCTTCCCTTGCATTCAATGTCCTGTGAGTATCAAATTTTCTAAGCCCTCTTTCCTCATTACCTGCCCTAGAAATGTCAACTTTTGTATTCCTCTGTACCCCTTAGCTTCAATATGTCCTGTGACTATCAAATTTTCCAAGACCTCTTTCCTTATTATATATGTAGAAGAAATTTCAATGTTTATCTTAATTTCTTATATATAATTGATCTCACACGCAATGGTTTCTAAGACAAACACACACACACACACATATATATATATATATATATATATATATATATATATATATATATATATATATATTATTTTAAAATATTTTTCATCACGACACAGAAATTTCAATGTCTCGGAACTGAAATTATTGTTTCATTTTCAAGCGATATTCAACAACTTCAGAAAAATGATTTTTTTCTGAAGTCATTGAATATCGCTTGAAAATGGAACAATAATTAAAATTCCTAAACATTGAAATTTCTGTGTGTGATGAAAAAATATTTTTAAATAATATTATAATATGCTCTACTTTGTTTCCAGCACTTTTTAAAAAATAAATGCTAAAGAACAGTGGATTATTAATCTGACTGTTCTTCCTATTTATTTGCGTATATATATATATATATATATATGTATATATATATATATATATATATATTATAAATTAATTGATTTAAAATATGGGTTTTTTTTTCGCTACACAGTTCTAACCATGTTTCAAAAATGGAAGCTAAAAGCTCCGAATTTAATTTTTGTAATTAAATTAATTTAATTTTGTAATTAAATTAATGCTCTGTAAATTTACATTGAGCACTATTTTGTAAAAATAAAAATATCTATAAGAACACCGGATTATATATCTTACTGTTCTTTCTTTTTATATATTTTCTATGAAAATTTCTCGGACATTCAGGCCGGTAAATGTTATTTAATACTGTTTATTATAAAACAGAGCATTTACTTAAATACTTGTATCTATAAAAAAAAAAAAAACAACGTTATATATATATATATATATATATATATATATATTAATCAATGTACATATACCTACGTTTGTAGTGAAACTTAAAGTTCCATGGTTGAAAGTCGATTTGGAAAACCATGCAAGTTGCACTACAAACGTAGGTATATGTGCATTTATTAATATATACTTCATAGCTCTGTTTAACTACATTGAGCACTGTTTTGTTTACACCTTAAGTATCGAACACATATACAGTTGTTAATACCCCATTATTTAGTTTATCTTCACATATAACATATATATTGAGTCATTCAGCACTTAGTCCGCGCCAGTCCTGTCGTGTGTGTGTATATATATATATATATATATATATATATATATATATATATATATATATATATATATATATATATATATATATTCTTAGTCTTGTCCACAGAATTGATCTGGGAATTTAACTGTATTTTCGACATGAAAAAAAAAAATCTCTTAGTATAAAGGAAATTTATATTAATCAGTAAAAGGTTTAGATAGAAGCGTCTATCTTTTAAATTTAGATTTTGTAATGTAACTATAACAACAAAGACATTTCGATTTCATTTTTGCCTTGAAAAAGTCGGAAAACGAAACGCGTCGGCAAAAACTGTATATAAGTCAGCAGTCTAGTCTTGTAGATCAATTGATATTGTGTTGATAGTTCGATCCTCATTGGAGACCCCATATTTTAGTCTTGGATCAACTCTAAACTACGTTCAGCAAATAAGGATACAAAAAGACCGTTTTTTTCCAAGTCGTGAGAGCCAGCCAGTCTGACTGCACGCCTTGTAAATTATGATTAATGCGTCCTAGCTCGGTTCGAACGCTAAACACTAGTACCAATGTGGAAACATCTAACCGTCTCTGCCATGAGATGGACCCACTCAAAATGCAGGTCATACAACCTGATGCTGTAGATTAATTAAAAACTGATCTTTATCCGAATTAATCGCCTGGACTGATTAGTAGAAAATCGATTTCACCTGAGGTCCTCTTTGATGGAAGCGTCAGTTAGATTGGCGTTCTTAGCATCTGTCTTTCTTAGACTGAACCAAAATAGAGGGATTAAACCAAGGTAATTTCTGTCTGACTTTAGGAAATGAGGAATTATCATTATTATACAGTAATCTATTCGGACTAGTCTTATGGGACAATAGCCACTTGCATAATAGTTACAATGATGTGTATCAAGTTACCTGGTAATCGTGGAATCAATCGGTATTGGCTATCTTAATATCTAGTGCAACGAGAAAACTAAAAGCCGGTGCTGTTATATATTTCGTGATCCTTGATAAAATCCAAAGAAAAATCAGCAATATTATTGGTCTTGTACTGGTATCTCAGCTTCAGTCACTTTCCCACCGCCGTAATGTTACTTCCTTGCGCTTTTCTATAAACACTTTCAAGTAATTGTTAGGATGAGCTCTTCGCTATGTTCATTGGCCTTTTTTTATTTATGTCCCCACTTTCTTTAGTCTATCCCCCACTTCTATCCATCGTTAGGTGCTCAGAGATGTCAGTTCTCTGGTGGATGCGGGTCGCTTTTCGTTTTTTGGGTGTGAGTTACGTATTTCTTGTTGTGTTTGGAGGCACGATGGAGTAATGCATAGCGACTCGGATTGAGGAATCGAAGAGCCGAGTTCAAATTCCAGTCGCATCCATTACATTCACTTAAATGTTAATACCCTTGGGAAAGGTATGAATCCTCTTCTTCTCCCCACAGCTATGGGTAAATAGCAAGACAGGCAAGGTTCTATAGCCTTGGATGGCAATTGGTCAATGAGAGTGGAACAGAATGGGAAAACTTTAGAATGACCCGGAAACCCAATCCTAAACGAGAGATAAACATCTACTAATGTTCAAAAGACCAAGGAAAAGTATGAACCGGACAATAGACGAACACATCTACTGGTATTGAGGGGAAAAACAAATATATATAAATAATAAATAAAATTTCAAAAATTTTTTACGGGAACGTTAGAAGTATATAGTTGAAGCTGGCTTTAGAAGGAACCGGAAACCCAATTCTAAAGCGGAAACAAGGGATAAACCTTTACTTTCACCCATCGTATACAGCAAAAAATGATCGGTTCCCTGTACTGCTCCTGTACGTACCTAACTCCTCCTTTACAAAAGTCAGATCAGGCCGAAAATGAACTAATGCTGCTCTGGTCAGGTGCTGCCTTATCTTCACTTTTCAGTCATGATATAGGTTGAAAGCATCTACACTGTCTTGTACAACCGGTTTTCCACAAGTGAAACGTCACAAGCCTTTTGCTACTCTACCACTATTTCTGATGGTGTTATGGTAATTTACCCACGCACGCATGGACTCTCCCAGCTATAAATAGGAGCAGGTACTGCCTTTTGGTGTGTAAAATTTTCCAGCAGTCATCTCTGACAGTCGGACCGAATATTCTTGCTGTAACACTCTCGTTTGTATATGTTTGCATTACTGCTTCTGTTAATATATTTGTTTAACTCAATTCCTCTCCTATGTCTATTTCTGGCCCCTAACAAGGTCACAACAGATAGGAAATATTAAAACCAGCTACATTCTTTAGTTTCCCCGCAATTTTAACCCTCCCAGCTAAGACCTGCTACACCGAGTACATTGAGGCCAACCACCCTTATTCCCATTGTATTAAGTAAGAAGCAAGTTCCACACGTATAGCTTCTTCCTAAAAATTGTTGCTTAGTGAAACAGAATTCTAAGAGGATCCTTTTCCACCCATTACAATGTTAACCTGCTCAAGTCTAGGGTTAACCGTTATCTTGCCCCACATCATTCATAAAGCAACCGTCTTCGGTAACTCTCTACCTTGAGTGATCTTTAGGCTTTGTATAAGGTGAACATTAAAGTCGAAAACTATTTCGGATTGTAAGTGACTGCTTACCCGGTGTTCATAAGCGGTACCCCAATCAAAGACTGACTGGGATCGACGCTGCTTAACTTGACTGATGAAACGAGAACCGATGTGATGCAGGCCGTCTAGTATGAACCAATGAAATGAGAACCAAAATAATTGTGTTTCTACAAGAGCCACATCCGACCAAAAATAGAGTATTGCTACCATATATATCTGTCCAAGCCCCACTTATCAGAGCTTAAAATCCTTTACGCGGCCCAGTCGGCCATTATTTGACATCCTTCAGCTATTTTCCCCAAAGACGAAATGATTCTGGCCTCTCGCTAATCCACCGCTATTTTTCATGACAGATGGTTGGGCGAATTACATTTATAATCGTGTATAGGTCGACTTTGGATGTCACATTTCCAAAGATATAATTAATTCGTGATTTGACTCCTGCACAGGTCAACCCCGAAATAATAAATTTCACTAATGATTCACCGCATTTAATAACACATTTAATCAAACTGTCACTAACTCCCGCGACCTACGCCTTGTAGACTGATGGTCAGTCAACCTGGGGCATCAATGG